TTGACTAATTCATTTTTAGAGAGTGCAGCATATGGACCTTATTTAACGTTTTAGATAAAGAATAAAAACAAAAACAAAATTAAAAAAATATGAAGTCACTGATATGAATAAATAAAGTTTTGCATATATACTAGTTTTATAATTAATAGATGTGGATACTACCTGAAATCGATAATACTTTTAAGGGTTCATTTTAGAAGGTTGCATACACTGTTTAAAATATCTGCGGTGTAAAAAGTAATCCTAAAATGGTGTCAAAATCCAACACCAAATGGTGTTAATATAACACCATGAATTAGGGTTGAAAATGAACACCAAAACGGTGTTTATCTAAAAATATTTGAGAAGTGCACCTACCCAGAAAAAAAGGAATAGTTCATTTAACCCAGTTGACCCATAAGTAGTTATATTTTTGTGGATCACGTGATGTTCTTAAATCTCGCCTTTGTTGACTTACATGAAGAATATATAAACTTAGGTAATCCTTTGCTTTGGTGTGACACTACAAGTTGTTCGATACTAAAGAGACCTTAAATAGGTGGAAACAGCTGTCAATACTTGAAGTATTTTAAGTTAGTGGAACGCACTAAAAACATTATCTCTAGCGAGTTGAAGGTTTCATTTTTTGGAATAATACCACTGGTAATATACTAGTAATGCGTCAAGGAACTTCCTGTTTCCTTTTTTTCCCTTTCTTCTGTGTAGTATGATAATTTTACCACAAACACATAATATTTAACACTGAAAAGGAGTTCAATTTACACCAGGTAAAATTTATTTTAATACTGTGTGAAAGTTAACACCATTTTAGTATTTGAATTTACACCGCCAACGAACCTTATTTAACACCATTTTAGTATTTGAATTGACACCGGACCAACGAACCTTATTTAACACCATTTTGGTTTGTATCGATATAGACCACGTATGGTGTTAATTTGGTGTTAAATTGGTCATGAAATTTTGAACAGTGTATATGAAAATTATCTATAGTGTTTCTATATAAGCTCAACACTACATTAGCAAACTTTAAAAGGATGTGGATATTTTTTTCTTAATGTTGGTACATGATGAAAAGAAAAATCATTAAATGAACCCAAGTATAACGAAAAGTTTTTATTTTTATTTTGTCGAGATGAGTGCATTTTAAAGGTGTGAGTAAAAATATTAATTATGCGGTAACAGGTTATAAAAAATGCTAAAAATGCATTGTTTCATTTTAAAACTGTTAATTTTTAAATTTAGTTTGGTATTAGTTTTAAAGTTAAAGTTTTAAACTACTTACTAAAATGTTTGAATAAACTTTAATAGCATGCTCTTTCAATATTTTTGTAATATGTTTAAAGATTTTAATTTTTGTATTAAATCTTTTTAATATTTTTCAATAATATGGTTTTTGGATCATTTTAACTTTGTACTTGTAACCGAAGTGGTAAAGTTTCTCAACTTTTGCCGATGATATGAAACCTTAATATTAACTTTTCAACAAATAAAATTGTCGTATTATATTTTTAAGATAAAGTAAATTAAAATAAAATAAAACGAAAGGTGCATAGTTTAATAAAAAATTATATCGTTTTTTTATATAAAAATACTTTCAGGCATTTCTAAATATTAGACTTATATTGTTAGGTTCTTATATTTTTAACAACCTTAATTCCCCATATATCTCTACAGTATGTCCCCGGATTGACGCTACAAGAGAAAAAAACCATTTTATTTTTGTTTTTTTCGAAGAAAAGTCATACTTGATAAAAACTCCTGCTTGTTTAAAAAATGAGCTTTTATCTACAGAGTACCTTTGAAAAGTTGTATAGGAAAAAGTTGTTTGTAATTGAAAATTAATTCTAAATACAAGAAAATTATGAAGTCGTTTTTTCTTTGTTTTTTTTCCAGGATCTAGGCATTTTTAATTCTTATTTTTCGAGAAAAAGTTATTCTTGATAAAATGGTTTGATGGTCAAAAAACCACCATTCACATAGTAAAATTTGAGATTTTATCAATACACGGAAAGAAATATATAGTCATTATTAATATAAATCTAGTAAGTTATACTATAATTTTTAATAAATATAGGGACAGCTATCTGATATTTTAAAATTTACTATAAAAATATGTTAATTATCTTTCATTATTGTTTAGTAAATTTAACTATATTGTATGATTTTTTTAAATGTATGAATATAATTAATTTTAATATATGCCTTCTAGTAATTTGTACAAAAATATTATGTTAGCTTTTATTAAAATGTTATAGTAATATTTAAAAAACAATATATTAGTAATAAATATCTTGGTATAATAATTTTAACTATATTTTTTTATAGGATTTACTATTTTTTTTCTTTAAATTATATTTTATTTGGTGTGTTTTACTATAAATTTTAGTAAATATTAACTAGTTTTTATAGTAATATTTAACAGTTTTTTTGGTACATATAAAGGGTGATTCAGAATCATGGGATGAAATGTCAAGAGGTCTTCAGTGCAATAATAGAAGTCTTCTATTATTATGGGTTACCCATATCTCTCGACATTTAATTTCACAATTCTGAATCACTCTAGAGTACAGCTGCTTACCTACAAACATACATAAAATTATAAAATAAAAGCATCATATAAATATTTTATATATTTATTGTCACAAACATATTATAAAACAAAACAAAAATATTCCAAAAATAACTAAAAATAGTTTTTTCTTAGACTCTATTTATCACAAGAGAACAACATATAAAATTAAAAGTTAAGTTTAAATATCTAAATAATTCGGTATTTTTATAAAATTAATTTGTGAATGACAGTGAAAATAATTGAAATTAAACCAAAATTGTAACATATTTTAAAACAAAACAAAAAATATTTCAAAAATAAAATAATATAACAGTTTTTCCTAAACTCTAATTATCACAAGAGAACAAAAGATAAAATTAAAGGTTAAGTTTAAGTATCTAAATAATTCGGTATTTTTATAAAATTAATTTGTACTATTTAGAATCACATATTCATAACTTTGTAAGTGAATGTTAGCTTTTTACATAATCTATAAATAAATTCATTTACTTCCCTTCTTAAAATACTTGAAATTAAACCAAAATTGTAACATATTTAAATAATACGATGCACCACAAAATAACAACCTACTCTTACCACTGCCACTGTTGCTATGCAATGCAAATGAAGGATCGGCTCGTCACTATACAAGTTTAAAGTTGACTCATGGTGGTTGACTATACAAGGGAGTTAATTTTACTATAATTATAGTAATAAGCAATATCTCTTATATTTATTACAACCATAATTTAAAATCTGGTGTAACTAAATTTATTTTAGTTAAAGATGGTATAAAATATAGTTAATTGAATATGTTACTATATTTGTTGTGTATTACTTACTAAAAATTATATTTAAAGTTACAATTCTATTTTAAAATATTTTTATAGTCAGTGCTAATAACTTGGTATGTTGTTTTTAATATAATTTATAGTGACTATTAATAAAAATAGTGTACTATAAATTTTCGACTATCCATTTCTTTCCGTGTAGAGTGTTTAAAAGTTATAAAAACATAAACGTTGCAACGCGTTGTCTAGAGATATGTACAATTAATTGTCTGTGCTTTTACGTACGTAACCCGTAATTAGGCTTTCTAATCCTAATTTTAGGATTTTAAGTTATCACCAATATTTTGCAAAAGTAAATTTATGGTGTGCTTTTTCTTCATGGAATATTTTTTTTAGATACACGCAGAGAAATATCATGTCATAAAGCATATGAAATTATATTAATTTAATTAATCGAGTAAATTTGATTCAAATACATTTTTAAAGTGTACCCTCTTTAAAAAATATACACAAAAACAAATCTGTTTATTTCATTGCCTTTCTTAATGTTGTTTCAAAAAGATATGCATTATAAAATTGGTATACACCTATTAATTTAATGGGACAAACCAATGACGCCAAAACATATTTGAATCCCTTTGTATTATTATCGTTTTGAATGATTCTACAATATTTTTTCTCTCAGTGTAATAACGTAAATCAACATACGTACTTTACAATGGTGGAAATATTTTAAGGGCAATGTTTAAGCGATTTACCTCTTGCCTATAATCAAGCTTGATTATAGGCTCTCAATGTATTTTCAACACGGATGGCCCGCGCCTATTTCCCAAATTGTTGTTAATTGGCTAAATCACAGATTTGGTGATAAATGGATAGGCAGAAATGGTCCAGTTTTATGGCCACCAACAAGCCCTGATCTGTTCATTCAAAATGTTTATTTGTTGGGGCGTTTAAAACAAATAGCTTAAAAGGAAGATTTACCTAATGATGTTAAAGTATTAAAAGAACGCTTTGGGGAACATCGTTAACATTTGAGGAAATCCACAATTTGCATTTCAATTGAATTGTGTGCTAAAAATATGCTTTAAAAATATTATTGCTTTATTATTATTTAATTCTGTTCAAAACATTTACAATAAATAAATTTTGTTGACTTGTATACAATGCACAGAAAAAACTCTAGCATAGCATGAATGGGTGAGCCATTAAACCAATGGGATCTTGTAATCCGTATTCCTGAATAACAGTTCCTATAATACCAATAGGTAGTTAGCACTTGGTTTATAATCGTTTACTGTTTTTAAATTAACAACAAAAGTTATCGCTCCTAAATCTATTGATATTCATATTGATATTTATTTGTTAGAATTGTAAAATGTTATTGCATTAAATACTAATTTGATTTATTTAATAACGTTACTATTGTATGTATACTATGTATGCATTTAACGCAATAAATTCTTTGACATTTAGGCAAAATATTTCCCTATTTTGGTTTAATAGTAATTAATTGAGCAAATAACAATTAAGATTGCTTAAATTTTAATGCATTCAATGACAGCGCTGTTCTTGGTACTATGTTAGATTTTTTTCTGTGTGTATGTTAATAAAAGGGGTGTATTTTTGTATGTCCGTATATTTATTTTAAAAAAATGAGTAGCCAAGCGCTTTCGTCTTTTAATCTAATGACATCATCAGGGATAGCCCTGGAAAGTAAGTAAACATTAGTTTCAATAGGTGGGTTAAAATTGATTTTTTACTGACTTGTCAAGGCGAGGGGATTTATGTAAATAATGTAAAATTTGTTATGTTAAATCTCCTTCAGGGCTATATGTTTTTCAACTTATGTTCACTGCTGCATATAAATGTAAGCTCGCTTTGACAAGTAAGTAAAAAATCAATTTTAACCCACCTATTGAAACTAATGTTTACTTACTTTTCAGGGCTAGCCCTGATGATGTCATTAGATTAAATGACAAAAGCGCTTGGCTACTCATTTTTTTAAAATAAATATACCGACATACAAAAATACACCCCTTTTATTTACAATAAAGATACTTTTATCTTAAATCGATTTTATGTTTTTCTAACTTTTAAACACCCTGTAGATGAATAAAGGTACTTCCCTCTTGGATCGATTTGATGTTTTCCTTATTTTTGAACACCCTGTGGATAAAATTTCAAATTTTTTAAAGAAACATCATTTTTATAACTAGCAGGATTTTTTCATAAAACCAAAAATAAAAATGTTTTCCCTCTTGTAATTTGTAATATTTCTATAGGCATACATATATGACAATAGCTATTTGTGTTTTAAGAGCGCAAAGTGATACATTGCCTCTCTGAGCGAGAAGTGTGACGCGCGACGCGTAGCGGAGCGCGGCTATCTCGCGAGAGCGGTGTTTGAAATTTAACATTTGTGTCAAAAGTCGCAAATACACTAAACGTTTCTATATTATGATTTCCATGGTATATAAGCGAGCGACAAAGTAACTTTCGCTCCTCGGAAAAGTGCAACTTTGCGCTTTCTTTTGGAAGCGCAAAATTGTACTTTTCGCTTGGTTGCATAAAAAAACATTTTGTTTTATAATATATATAATATAATCGCCGACGGTGGTCTATTTGTGTTGTCCTATTGTGTAATAGTCCTTCGGAGGGGACTTTAAGCCCGCGGTCCGTTCCTACCCCTAACCCGCACAAGCCATTCAGTTGGCTTATGGGACTCCTTACGAAGTAAGGGTGGAACTAAAACTGCACTTTTGTATATAAACTTTTTGTATACGATATTAAAAAAAACTAATAATAAATTAATCTTTCTAGACATGACAGAGATGCCTGTCTCAACAACCTTAAGCTGAACGTGAACGTTCGCGACAGCAAACGTCACGCGCGTCATCAGCAGCAGCAGCAGCCGGACAACGCGACCTACACGAAACGGACCAATCGCAAGTTGATTCAGGGCAGCTTGGAAAACGTCTCGACCAATCCGTGGGGAGAAGGCGGCCAACTTGCCGAAGAACCGTCGAGCCTGAGACGGAGCCGCAGCTTGGCGATATCGCGCGAGACTATCTTCACGAGCTTGGACTTTTCGAGAGCTTCGGCTGCAGCTGCACAAAATCGAAGGTCGCAGCTAATACCGAGAGCGAAGCTTATCGACAGATCGGGCGCTAGGGAACAAAGGTAAACATACTTGCTTTCAAGTTGCTTATTAGAGGTGACGTTGGTTTTAGTGATTAAGATGTCGATCTGTGTAAAAAGGATAATTAAGAGTTATGACTTACCTATTTAACAACCTACATGCCGTTTTAAAGTATTATTTGGTGTTATTTTTATAATTTATGATTTTCTAGAGGTTACTTTTACGTAGTAGGCATTCCATTTTACGGCACGTAAAAATAAAATTTAATGTACTTTAGTCATGCGAATACCTACTTTGACAGGAATGTTCGCAACTCTAATCCATTTAAATTACTTATGGATGTTGGATAGAAAGGACCTCTTTAAAATATTAAATGCAAAAACATTTTATTTTCAGAATTTATTAATTATATTAAAATTTTATATAGTTTGTTAGAAAATATTAAGTAATTATTAATGAATCTAATTAGCTTACCGTATTAAAACCTTTAGGGGACATATTTAAAAATATTTTATATTTATAATATATTTTAAATTTATTCTATTGCTGAATACGAATCCGATCTCAAAATTCACTTCAGGATTTTTAAAAATTCTGACCCAAAACTAGAAAAAACGAGTTTGTTCACGAAATATTTGTTTCCAAAATCAAAATCTAGAATTTTATAATTATTTTTAAACAATGATTTCTACTTCTACAAATTCTCAAAAAGCAGAATTAATATTTAAAAAAGATTTTGAACGAAAGAGTATTACTTTTTAAAATTGGAAGTAAATTTACAAGAATTTCTACCAATTTTAAATAAAAACTTGGTTCCATGTAGATAAAATTGTTTATCAATTTCTGGTTAAGTTCCAGTTAGTCTATCTGACAGTTAAATTTCATATCGATCGTTGTGGTAGCATTGTACAATTATAATTTAAAATTATTTAAAACAATAAAACTCGCTTTATCTATGTCCAGTCAAAGTTGCAGTTAGTTATCTGGCAGATCTCCATGGATACCATTGTTCTCACATTATATAGAATAAATTTGATTTTGACAGATTTGAAGTCTGCAAAATAAATTTTAAAATATTTTAGAACATACGTTTTTTAAAGGCATATCTGACTTAAATTCCTTGCAATATTTTCTTGTATCTAAGTAAAATGTTTTTGGACTTGGGTGCGTTTCACGAAATATTATAAGAATACATTACAAGTTGTCCAAAAACATTTTTAATCAAATCCAAACAAAGCATTTATTTCTTAACAAATCAATTTAAAAAATCTGAAAATAAAATGTTTTACTGATTTTTTATTCTTTTATAAATACCTAAAAACCAACAAAATGTCTTGAATAAATTCTAAGGATTTTCAAGTTAACAAATTGCTACATAGCTACATATGTTTGAAACTAGGATACATTTAGGACGTACCTATTTTATATCTGTAGCCCAGAACCATTAATTCAAACTTTTGAAATTGTTCAGAAGAGCAAAACTAAGGTTTAAAACACGCTTAACTTTGAAACCGGAAGAGATTAATACTTACTTTTTTTAACATACATAAAGTATCATTTTATCTCTGGAAAGTAAAATGATGCGGTCGATATTGTTACTAAATAAAAAATAAAATGGACTTAATATTTAAGTGACTTAATACTGTTTGGCTTTTATAAAACAAACATTAAATTTTATTTGACTTGACAACTGAACATCAAATTAGCTCTAAATTGGCTCTAAAATAATTTAATATAAATATTATTAAGTCCCATAAACGATGGACTTGATATTTTTATACATCGGCAAGATTGCCAAACTTAAAACAACATAAAACTGTAAATTTCTTAGAACCAAAAAATGTCAATGGCTCATTGCACTATTTGGCCCTAAGCAAGGTGTGGACACCATATATAAAACTAAGTAAGCCAGGACCCGGTTAACCATTGAAAAGAGCAGACAAGTTTAGGGGGAAACATTTAAAATGTCGCTTTTGAAAAAAAGTGGACTTAATACAGTTTGGCTCTGAGGTACAGATATTTGCTCTTATATTTTAACCTTCTTTTAAAACAAACTTGTTAAATCACATATACTATGGGATATGCCAAATCGACCCATTTTGAATTGGCTGAAATTTTTATATGCTATACTACTCTCTTAAAATAAAATATTCAAAATTCTACTATTTGAATTAGGACCAGCATTTTTTACTACTTAAATTCACTTTTAAATAATTATTTTTTACTAGTTAAAGTTTGACTATACCTATAGGCTCCATGGATAAATGGCCCATAAAAACAAACAAAGATGCAAAAAGTTTAGGTTAAAACAGCTAAAAATAAACACTAAAAATAATATTGTGTACAATATTTATAGACAAATAAAATTAATTTTTATAAAAGTGACTGATAGCGCATTGGTTATGACATCCGCTTGACAAGAGACAGACCCGAGTTCAAACCCCAGCTGGGTCCCTTTTTAAATTTAAATCTACTTATTTGACTATTTCATTCAGTTGAATTTGACTAATTGAGGAGCATCCGCGCAAAACCGGCTATATCCACTTTAATAAAATGTTGGAAATATGGCAAAAACTCTCGGTTTCCTGGCCTTTACAGATAAAACAAAGCAAACTTGAGTTTTGTGGGCTTTGTGGTACTTGATTTATAAGATATACTTTCGTTTTCAAAAACTGTATATTACGGCCAAAAGTTAAAAAAATGTTTTGTTTTGCTCAAAAACCTACGAATAAAATGTGAAAAAAAACCTTTATTATTCAAAAATATTAACAAAATAAATTTAGTGAAAACATGAAAAAACAGAACAAATTTTAGTAGTAGTATCGACATATCCAAGCCACATGCTCATCATCATTATTATCTATTGGATATAGCCGGGTTTGCTATAAAAACGTGGATTTGGCCGGTTTTGCTCCTAAAGCTTTACTTTTTTATAATTTTTATAGATGCTTATAACTTTTTTAAAACTGACTTTTTTAATTTTGTTTTGTTTTTAAATGTACTTTTCAGAAAAATCACAATTTTCAAAGTCATATTCTATGAAATTTTTCAATTATTTAAAATAAAAACATTTAAGTTCGTTTTTTTGTTTTTATTTTTTTATTTTAAAATAAACATTGGTTAATGGCGCAAATTTCATTCAACTTTTCTTTTTATGTTTTTAGTATAACTTGGTTTTATAATAAAATAATTTTAAATAAATATATAAATATAAATATGCAAAATTTTTAGTACTCACTTTTGTATGTTATTAATATAGTTTAGAAGACAATTTGCGGCATTAAACGCAAAATAAATGAAATTGTTTTTTGAAAGGAAATTTGGTAGGGAAGTAAGTATATAGTAATATACAATTTTCAGACAAATCAAAAAGGGTTGGGTTAAAAAGTGGTCGACTCGGCATGGAATATACAGGGTGTGCCAGAAGTCGCGGACCACTTTGAAGGTGGATGATCCACACTGTGGATCCCCTTTTTTTAATAATAAAGGTGGAATTTTTTTAACAATTTTTAGGATTCCTGGTGGTCTGTGGATTCCACAGACCACCAGGAATCCTAAAAATTGTTAAAAAAATTCCACCTTTATTATTAAAAAAAGGGGATCCATATTTTTTAAAAACCTATATAATTTTTATGTTTAAAATCTTAATGTTTTCGCTTTCTTATCTTTTTAAATAATGAAGTTTTTTAACAATTTTCTGGGATTCCTGTGGGTCTTTAAACAAATCCTTCTCTGAAACTGTATTTAAATTTTTAGATACAAAGGGAGCAGCGTAGAAAATTTGGAAGCGACCGGCAAAAGACCGGCATCGAAATCGAGACCGGAATCGAATCCACCAGCGCACCATCAAGTCCAGAACAAATCACGTCGAAGCAGACTGACGCAAAGGGACGACGAAATCTACGCTTACGCGTCCCTTAACAATATCAACGACAAGAATATTTGGGACGTCGAACAGGATCGTTTGGGTCCCTATTTCAAAAACAAATCGACTTCGAATAACCTTTACAGAGCTTCCTACGAGGATCTGCAAGAATTAAGTCTTCCGAACTACTATCCGGATTCTAAGTGCGACACGGACTTTACTGACAACATTTCCATATACGAGAATACTTCCTGTGTATCTTTAGACACAAATAATAACGTGGCAAAGCCTTCGTCGTCTATAGTTGGCCGAACGAAATATTCTTCCACCGGAAATATTTCAAACATTAACTGGGAAATAAGCGGCCCTGAAAGCATTCCTTACGACGAAAACATCCTATTAAGCGCCAAAAAGAGTTACAGCGACAATAACTACGCTAAACCGAAAACAATACGCGGACCGACCCCGTATCACGAAAATTATACTTACAATAAGCGTCGAAATTCAGTTTCGCAGGCTAATTACGAGAAGCCGAGTCAGGATATAAGCCAACGAAACGAGGAAGATATAAACGTTAGTTACTTCGAAACAAATAAGAAGTTGGAAGAGAGCGAAACGGCCAAAGTAATCTCGATACACGAAGGCGACAATTATGACAATATAGAAAACAATCCCGTATACGGCAAATTAGTGTCGAAAAAGAACATTGAAGTTTCTCCGCTTAAAACAAATAAAAAAGAACAAACTATTACAGACACTGCCGATCCTATTAGAACTCTCATTGAAGTTCCAGCAGAAATTAATAACGAAAGTGACGAGCAGTATAAAACAATAGTGGCCGTGGAAAGCGAAAACACAACGAGCGAAGAGGACAGTAAATCAAACAAATCGAAACAACATAGTCACAACTACCTGAGGGAGTTCCTGGAGACGCAGAAAGGCTCGAAGAAACCCCTACAGAATTTCATTGCTAAAAAACTTTCTAATCTATCGCGTCGAAACTTCAAAGATAATCAAAGCTTAAGCGAAAACCAGTTTTTGTCGTTGCCCGATATTAGTGTGAGCGAAAATTTGAAGAAGTGCGAGAAAATCGATAAAAAGTTGCGTAAGTGCGAGAAAGATAAAAGTAATTCCAAAGAAAACAGATTCATAGTAAACATTGGCAGACATTTTGATATTACGGCTAATGCTAATATACCGGTGGATTTCGAAGTTAAAATCGCCAAGGTGCCCAAGAAAAATAAATCCGTAAAGAAGAAACCTGTAAGAAAAGAGAAATCTGATAAGCAGTTAATTGAAGCAGTGAGAAACTTAAAACAAACTTTAAGCGCGAGCTCTATAAGCCTTGATGAGAACTATAGACCACCAGAAATATTAGAAAGTAAAGAAGACTTCCTGGATAAAGACAAAGACGAACTAGAAATCGAAATGGAGAAAACAGAGTGCACCAAAGAATATAAAGAAAAAGTTGACACGATGAGAAACTATTGGGGTAAAATTGCGGATACAGAAAATAACAACGATATAGAAGAGGAAGGTTTAACATGTAAAATAATCGATTTGCAAACCAAAGTAGAAGATGTTAAAAAACGGTTTGAACCGCAAGAACCGGAAGAAAAACCATTTAATAAAGTAACACTTGTAAAGCAGTTATTTGAAGTAAACACCCCTGAGAAAAGAGAAAAAATATCGCCCTTAATTAAGGAAAATTGTAGCTATTTTGAAAGAAACCCCAGGAAAAATATATTTTTCGATAGCGACGCAATACAACTCGAAAGTCTCAACCCTAATATAGTGGAAATCATAGACAAGAATACAAACAAAGAAGAAAAGCATGATAAACCGAAATCAAACCACCAAAAACGCACATTATCAAAATCAAACAGTACTGGTTACCCAGAATTTGACCACGTTCGATACAGAGTAGTAAAATCCGACTTATTCCAGAAAAAAATATTTGCAAATTGTGACAAAGAAAGTCAATTCAAGGGCTTAATGCAGTATCTACAAGACTACAGCTTCCAAGAACTTTTAATAGACAATAATATAGTTATTATTGAACCAATTAGAAGTAAAGTACAATACGAGCCAGTAAAAACTTCTAAAAAAATTAGCACGAACGTAACGCCTTTATTGCAAAAGATTAATAATGATGATGATGCTAATAGTTTAAGAAAACATTTCTTCTATCACCCGATACGTGTAAATAAGGAAGTAAATGATGACGAACTGCCTAATCCTGATACGGTTAGGCAGGTGAGGCAATTCTTCGAATGCGGTTTAAAACGATCACAGAGCAACCAAGAAATCGAAAACTCGGGTAAAGAAAAATATGGCAAAGACGATCCTGACAAAGATCATTGTTCTGCAACTGACTCAAATTCGAATCCTTCGAACATTTCCGACTTTGGAAGTCAGGAAAATCTTTTCGACGATGATGTAGAAACAGAGAATTGTTGTGAACAGCAATTTGTAAGCGAGGATATTCTTGAGAAAATAAGAGAATGCGGCTCAACCATAACTTATTACGGCGGCAGGGTGGTTAAGCAAGACAACGGTCAGCCCGTTTTAACAAAAGCTATAATGAGAGAAATCCGGAACAACGAAAGGCGTAGCTGTAGCTGTAAAAAATCCGGCGAAAACAAAGACGATAACGACATATATGAGGGCGTCAAGTTTAAATTAGTTAAATCTAATAGTTGTAGCAGTAGGGTAGAGTTGGTGGGAACTAAGAATTTATCCGATTCGAAAAAGAAATACTTTGCAAGGTACAAAAAACTCCTGGAAGACAGAAACCAAAAGAATGAAACAAATACTTGCATTAAAGAAGAGATGAACGAGAATGATAATTCACAAACTCAAAGCGATAATTTACAAATTCAAACAATAACAGATAAGAATGCTATAAATGAGAGCATAAGACAAAGCTCCATTAATCACCAACCTAAAATTATAGGGGAAGAAATGAAAATTAAGGATAACAAGTTGGTTCAATGGGGAGATGTAAAAAAAGAAAAAATATATTCTTCGATTACTTATAGTGATAAATCAAACCAAAAAAATTACTACGAATTCCACAATTACGACAAAATTCAAGCGAACCCCCACAAACCTGAGATGGAGTTCGAACCCTATGAAGTGGCTTAGGTTAAGAAACATCGAATTAAATTGTTAGTCAGTATTTTAGGCATTCCAATGCTAATGTGATTAGTATTAAAAGAAATTGTAAATTATTGTAAAATATTTTTTGAATAAGGAAATGGGTAAATAAAAATATTTATGTTATAATATTTTATTGAAATAAAGTTCTATATGAATTATGTTGTGTGTTTTCCTAATTAGATTATAGAACAAAGTATGATTTATTTATTGGGTAAATACCTGGGAAATGTAAATATTTATACAAAGGAATAAACAAGAGTATTCCTTTATTCATTCATGGTAAGGATAAGTCGGGATCGATAGTATAAATGGAAATTAGGCGCCAGGCCGTTTAATAAAAAAATAGTGTGCCTTTTAAATCTGATTTTATAAATTTCTACCAATATTTCTTCAAATTTATATAATAAAATGCTTTTTTATCTTTTATCTTTTTTAAAATTAAAATTCATTTTTATAAATGACAACGCTTCAAATCCAAACTATTTTATTAATAAAAAAGATTAAAAATAAGCAGAGTATATTTACAAAAATGTTAACATAAGTTAACACCTACGAAAATACTCGAATTTAAAATAGAAATAGAAAAATGTTGGTTTTACAAATTAATAATTTAAGTTCATTTGCAATTCAACTAAAATAAATTTACTTGATGGCATCTGCAAACACTAAAATCCTACAGTTTCTATCTCAACTAAATAAATCTTAAAGTATACGTTTTCAATTTGAGCCCTAACATTTTTCAGTGCCTGTTTGGTAAATAAAACAACGTTTTGTTTTATATTTCTAGTTTGACCCAAATTTCACGTCTAAAAACTTGTTGTGTAAAGCTCATCATCGCCGACTTGGCACGATTTATAAAGATCTTTTGTCGATAAATTTTTATTTATATTCAATTCAGAAAAGCAGGTGTAATAAAATAAAATTCGATGAAGCAATTTAAAAACTACGTTATACATTTTTAATTTACCCTTGTCATTTAATGTCACCGCTGACATCGTACTCTTGTTGATACTAAGAATATCTATAGATATTAGTAATATATTAGTAATCTTTTTAAAAACAAGCTTGATCTTAACAAGACTTTTTAAGTTTATTTTATTTTATACTATTTAGTAAGATGATTATATTCAGAAGCTTTAACTTCACATATGCGAATAGACAAAGCCACCGCGCATAGACCGTCGACTCACGTGACTTATTGCAAGTGCGCGGTTGGTCAATGCTTGATTTTTATTAAACTTGGTAACCTGCGCACAACCCTAATTTTGCACTCTCGGTAATCGTACGGTACGATTCGTACCCAGTTCTTATAGACCCCCCACTTCTCAATATTTCTTTGTAGTTGAAGCTCCTGAATATAATCTTACTTTTTAGCATTAAAATTTGCATTATTATCTGTCTTAATACCTTTACTTGTGCGTGTTCATGTGTTTAATATAACATTTAGGTTATGTACTTTAAAAGTGAGATTATAATACAATATCTGTCAGTTAAACAATTTCAAAAACATGTTGTCAAAAAGGGGCTGGACAGCAACTGTCACTGTGATAGTCGCAAAATATTTTATTTTGTGCTTTTTAGTAAAAATTTTAGTTATTCTTAATCTATACCATATTGAATTCGAAATAACGTTATTCTGCTAGTCAAATTATCAAATTCAGGTTATGTTCTTTAAAAGTGAGGTTAGACAATATCTGGCACTTAGCTAGATACAATTTTTAAGATTGTTGTCAAAAGGTGGTTGAAACAGTGACACAATATTTTAATGTTCTCTTCGTCTTTTTTCCCCTGTTATTTGTCAACTTGACACCTCTCAAAGTGTTGCTTTATATTTTGTTGTATACGCTAAAGAAGTATCGCTAGTAGCGCCACCACTCGGCTGTTATCATCGTAACAAAAGTAGAACTTATAATAATCAGCTGTCAAACGCTTAGGTTACAAACGAGTGTTTTTGAGAATAAAGCCGGAAAATGTTAAAAAATGTCGAAAAAAAAACGTGGATCGATTTGTTGTGTGTATTTTGAGAGAAAATCCTGGGTAGAGTTTTTACTGGTTTTCCAATAAACAGTGTTAATCTGAATGAAGAAATAAATTGCATACAGTCTCTGTAAATATAATTAGATACAATAAATACACATTTTAGTAGTGATTAACGTGATAAGTGTAAACATTTCAATTCAGTAAAAATCGTCAAACAAATAAGTCGTCTAAATTTAAACAGCATTTAGCATTATTAAAAGCGTTGATTAAGAAAGTCTCCACTCAACGGTAAAATACCATTATATTATGTATTATATATAATACATGCCATGAATTCGTAGGTATATTTTGTTTAAAATGCAGTTGTCGGTGTTTTTTAGAGAACTCAAATATAAAAATGATTGATTTTAGGTTATGTTTGTGCAAAAAATATTTTTTACTAATTTCTTAAAAATGTCCAAACTTAAATATAAATTATAATAGGTAAAGTTGTCATTAGTTAATTCAGCACCAACAAATGTACTTACTGAATTGGATCCTTTGGCAAAACATGAAAATGCAACGATTTAATTTCCCTTTGATAAAATACACACACTAACGTAACTATATAAGCATTTAAGCGTTGAGTTTCTTAATCAATGATATAAGGAATAATTAATCGAAATCGAGTACTAAAAAAGTTTTTTAATTTTTTCCTTGCAACGCAAGACACAAATAACGTGCGCGATTTAGCTGTGCAATTGAACAAAATTTGTCGAGTAAGACTTCTGCCTTCCTCTCTTTTGTAAAAAAAACTACCTATTTATATTATATAATCGGTGCTTTAAATTTATTGTTGACAATTCTTAAATTCACGCAATGCATTCAAAGTCCACCAGATGGCGCGCGCGTTGCGATAACCCGATACTTCTTTAGCGTATATGTTTTTATTTTATTTTACTTAATCCATCCAAGTACAATGTGGTATACTAAATTGTATCGTCAGCAGCACCAACAGTAATTTTGCACTCAAGGGATTAATGAAGAGACCAATGAAAGCTTTTAGTAGGTAGTTATTTTGCATATTAAGTGAATCCGATACCTTATGTCAAAGTAAACGCGTAAACTAACCCGTGTATGCTATAAATAAGCAATTATAGGAACCAAGTAATCGAATACTTGAATAATTCAATTTAAATATTATATACAGGGTACACCAAGTATCCTTCTATGTATGGGTATCTCTTTTTATTAAAAATCCAGTATTTTTCAAAAAAACCTTTCAAACCCAAAAATCGTTATAACTTCGAAATTTTCAAAAAAAAGTACGTTTTATATACAAAAAAAACGATATGTAAACATACACATTTATCTACATTAGGGTGAGCCAAAAAAACTAACCTATCGGATTTATGGGTTAAAATGAACCTACATACCGAGCAAAAAATTTTCCTGCAAGGAAAAATTTTTTGCTCAATTTTAAAAGGTGTCGGTGAGCATTCTAAGTTTTCCATTGAAATAACACGTAAAAAAATCTTTTTTCATTAAAAAAAATATAACTTTTGAACCGTTTGAGATAAAAATTTTTACGTCGCGGATTCTTGTAGAGCATAAAATTTCCTACAAAATCTATCCCAGAATTATTTTTTTTCAATTTAAAAATTCGTATATTTGAAAGCTTTGAAAAGTGAAAAAAATCATAATATTTAGTTTTAGTGTTTTTTGACTAAAAATGTTCATTAGGGTGTTTCATTTAAAACGAAAAATTTTTTTTTCTTGCTGACACATGAAAATTTCGGTTTTTAGGTTGAAAAAAAAATTCCCTGAAAATTTGAGCCCTTAATTTTGATTCTAAGTACTTCCTTTTTAATTTTGTAGTTTTTCCATATAAAAAGCATGTATTTTTAATCATTTTTACTTTAAATTTCTATATTTTGGCCGGGTTTTGAATTATAATTTTTATCACCATAATAAAGGCCCTGCATCAATTTTGTTTTTGATTTATTTACGTTGATTGTAGTAGCTCCAAAAGTCGTTTTTTCACTTTTTCTCATATTTTAGAGAAAATCGAGCGAATGACTGGTTTTACCGAAAAAGTTCAAATAAAAAAGTTGAAGAAAATTTAATTTTTGACTAAAAAGGTTTTTACGTTCATATCACTAAAGTGCTTTGTTTAAGAGATATAAGCAATATATAGTTGTTGAATGAAATTACATAAATTTCAATAAAACCTATTTTTTCTTTGTTTTTGGTTATTGAATTGCTTATATCTCTTAAACAAAGCACTTTAGTGATATGAACGTAAGAACCTTTTTTGTCAAAAATTAAATTTCCTACAACTTTTTTATTTAAACTTTTTGGGTAAAACCAGTCATTCGATGGATTTTCTCAAAAATATGTGAGAAAAAGTAAAAAAACGACTTTTGGAGCTACTACAATCAACGTAAAACCCGGCCAAAATATAGAAATTTAAAGGCCAAAATATAGAAATTTAAAGTAAAAATGATTAAAAATACATGCTTTTTATATGGAAAAACTACAAAATTAAAAAGGAAGTACTTAAAATCAAAATTAAGGGCTCAAATTTTCAGGGAATTTTTTTTTCAACCTAAAAACCGAAATTTTCATGTGTCAGCAAGAAAAAAAAAATTCGTTTTAAATGAAACACCCTAATGAACATTTTTAGTCAAAAAACACTAAAACTAAATATTATGATTTTTTTCACTTTTCAAAGCTTTCAAATATACGAATTTTTAAATTGAAAAAAAATAATTCTGGGATAGATTTTGTAGGAAATTTTATGCTCTACAAGAATCCGCGACGTAAAAATTTTTATCTCAAACGGTTCAAAAGTTATATTTTTTTAATGAAAAAAGATTTTTTTACGTGTTATTTCAATGGAAAACTTAGAATGCTCACCGACACCTTTTAAAATTGAGCAAAAAATTTTTCCTTGCAGGTATGTAGGTTCATTTTAACCCATAAATCCGATAGGTTAGTTTTTTTGGTTCACCCTAATCTACATTCGTAATTTATATAATTCTATAAATTCTATAGAATGCCCGTACAGTTCTCGATTCACGTGAAAGTTCTCGATAATTCTTTATTAATAAATTAAATTTAACTTAATTTTATTTTGTATAGAA